AAGGAGAGCAAGAAACTTTATTCAGAAAAAGGGAGAGATATTCAGAAAGTTCTTCTGAAAATCTCGTGAAACAAACAAACAGCAAAACATTCACGAAGTTATTACGCAAAAATGAGTGGAGAGAGCACGGAGCCTTGCTGTACCTGTGAAACGATGATGGGGAACTCCAAGGGAACGTTTGGGTTTGAGTAGAGGATGCGCTCACTCGATGAGCCCTTCCGGAACGCCGTGCTGCCGTCAGTCGCAACATATAGCAACGCGATCAAAGGCCTGGTGTAGGGAGTACACATGCACGGGCTTCTGCTTTTCACGATGTTTCTGCTACAAAAGGCGAGCGGCGTGTATGGGTCGATGTTGCTACAGCTTGCCACAAAGCACACTGATTGGTAGTCAGGAGAACGATATCACGGATACGGCCGTCAGCACTTCGCTTGTAGATTTCCATTGTGGGCGAGAGTAGAGGCGACTTGGACGACACTTCAAGCAGCCTGCTGGACTGTCCTTCTTCTGTCAGCTCTTGATTGTCGTGCTCTGCAACGCTCCGTTGAGCTAAGCCCGTAGAAGCAAGCAGTTCCCAATGGGAACACGTGGAGGAGCGGACATCACCACCTGGCAACTGCTCATTAATAAGAGCAATAAAGGAGAGAACCTTGATAAAGAAAGTTAGGCGAAGTCTTCGGTACAGGTACAGAGGTCGGTACAGATATATTGTCAGTGGTTTTCTGAGCAGGAATCAGCATAAGATTCGCGTCCCAGCACGTCCACTCAGCCTCGCTCCTCAGAAATCAGGTGTAAGTTTGATCAAAGTTCTTTCCGAAGTGGATTTTGCTGGAGATTCGCGCCCAGAGATAGTTCGACTCCCTAGACACAAATGAACATCATTGAATCGCCTCGGCGCTCAGTAGACTCTGGCGCCAAAACATTCAAACCATCAAACTGGCTGAAAAGTTGTCTCCAGGGGACACTGTTTGATTCCCTGGAGACATCGTCTCCGTTCCGCACAGAACCGAATGACACCGAATATTCTCAAGTCGTTACTTCGGCTAAAAGCAGCCTTTAGTGGTACTGAACGCGAGCATCACGTCTGCATGGCGTGCGGCGTGTGCATCATTACAAGGATGGCGTGACCTGAAGGGACGCAAACTGTTGTGTCCTTGCGAATAGGCAGCAGTAGAATATTTATTGGAAGACAGTAGAATAACAACTAGCAAAATGACCCGTTTATATACTGCTCTGCCTGGTCAAAGTTTCCAGTCAAACCAGGCAGATCTATTACACCACAAGATCAAATACTACATCCTATGAGATCACGGTGCCCCAAACGAACAGACATGGCATGGCTCAAACTCGCGGCAGACAGCCCTCTCCTTAGCGCATCTGCGCCACTTGGCTTCTGCGGAGGTCATATTACAACTGTTATAATACTTCCAGTTTCACTTTAGCCAGTTCTTCAAAGGTTCAAGCTTCAGGATTCTACCGCTCCTTCTGCTGAATCTTACGCGGAGCCTGCCCGAGTAGAGGACAAGATTTCCAGAGCTGAATTCATATGTGCAGCTGTTGCATTTGCACTTGGCTCGGGGAACGTATGGCTTCTCCCGGAATCATTTCACAAGGGAGGTGAGCTACCTACTTACCTACGTCGTAGCCTTTCGCGCTGTCACACATTGGCGAATGAATCACCAATATTCATATCAGAAGGAAAATGGCAGGTGATAGTGCTTGGGGTGGGTAGTCAATCTGGGTATGACCCGGTTCATTTTAGGCCAATAATGTGCCAGAGAACCCTAGGAAGCACTGAGTTGCGCAAGTAGTTAAACCAACCATTCACTTGTCTCTGTTACCTTTGGTGATTACTTTGCAGATTTGAGGGTGCCGTTTAGTAAAGGGGAATTCGGATTAACATATCGGTCAAAGTACTTTTCTTCCCAACCTAGTACAATTGGTTTTCTACAAACACTGGTGATCTATGCAAACGAATGGGCGGGCTACGCGGCACGGTTGTGAACGCGGTTATGTCGGCCTTGCCCCAACAATGACGTCATCCCTTTGCGCTACTGCTGGTGAGAAATCTGCTCTGGCCGAATTCCAAGCTGCGCCGCCGACGTACGTCTTGTCGTTTTCAGGGATCACGACTGTGCTATTGCGACGCCTTCGCTCGTCAGCACAAGACAAAATTCAACTATTGTTTTTGAGGGTCAACATTCATCATCCAGTTTACCATTTGCTATGTTCTGGCAGCTGTACCACTGTACTATATGGAAGTTGCCTTGGGACAATTCACGTCGGCATCACCTTGGTGCATTTACCAAATGTTATCGTCAGCGATGTCAGGTCTATAATCCATTCGTCTTAACATCCCTCCTTGGAAGTATCATGACGGTTTTTGAAGGCAAGTGGCACGATAAATCCTCAACATGTGTAGGGTTATTACGTCAAGCAGTAGAGCATTCGGCTGCCCTAGATAGGTTTTGCGTGGCACCTTTCCCGAGGAAGGTGCCCTTATAGCGCCCCTATAAAGAGGCAACATGCCGACTTAAAAGGGAAGTGGTCATTTGAAATGAAATGTATACCGGCTGAAAGATCTTCGGACGGGGATTACGAAACCGTTTTCCATATCTGCTGCGGACCTCCCAGAAAGAAGTTGCGGAGCTTTCCAGGGGAGAATGTTTGCATTCAGTACGAACTGGTGGCGTAAGGCTGATGAGATCGTGGCAGCATGGCCGAGTGGATACGTCGTAGGGCTCACGGATGCGTGGTCGAGGGTTTGGATCCTTGATGCGTGTGCTCTTTTGCATTTTTTCGAAAGTGGTCTCCTGTGCACTTCAAAGCGATTTTGCATAACTCTTGTGCCTGATAATGTCGTGACGTAATGTTTCTGAACTGATGGAGCCATTGCGAACGATTTCATGGAGATCACTTCTGGCTGAAGAGATTGTCATACGAGCCGAAAACTTCCAGCAGGTGCGAAACCACTTTGGGATAGACATCATTCAACACTATGTGAGTGATGAATGAAGGTTTTGCCCATCGCGATCTCCAGCATGATTGCCACATCAACGCCACTTCATATGAAAGCATTTTCTACTCATCTTCGCGCAACTTCGTGCGGCTTCGGATTCGGTTTCCAGTCATGTCATTTGGAGAATAAAGTAATTTTCTTTGTATCCTTAATGCGTGTGCTCTCTTGCATTTTTTCGAAAGTTGTCCCCGCTGTGTCCTTCGAAGCGATTTAGCATAACTGCTCGATCACGTCGTGACATAATGTTTCTGAAGTAGTGGAACCAGCCATTCCATGAAAAACATTTTCTGGCTGTTGACTTCTTCTTTCTTTGATTTGAAAAGCATACACAACAAAAGTGCATTCCAACGAAAGATTTTGCCCTGAAAATGACTTTATTCTCCAAATGACATGACTGGAAACCGAATCCGAAGCCGTACGGAGTTGCACGAAGACGAGTAGAAGATGCTTTCATTTAAAGACAGCGCCCGCGATGGACTTTGGCAGGTCTCAGGGGTCAAATTTGTTAGAACAGGTGGCCAATGAAGCACTAATCAAAAAAAAGTAGGAAAAAGGTGTGGAAGAGCGTGAAATAAGGCCCTACGAAATTTAAGGCATGTGGACGAGTTCTGCAGACCTTTGGTGAGTTCTCCAATACACG